TGCGATCTGTCGCATATAGACAGGTGTCATCCGCAAAGAGGGCCAAGTGAACACCATGTGTTTGGGGGGCATCATTTATATACAGATTGTAAAGCATACAGGAAAGGACAGAACCTTGTGGCACCCCTGCTTGCATTTCCCTTGGCGTTGACATTTCGCCTTCAACCGAGACCCTGAATTTACGTTTAGAAAGAAAGGACCCAATAAGCTTGGTCAAAGAGTTAGATAATTCCAATTCCGATAACTTATACAGCAAGCCTGAGTGCCACGTGGTATCAAAGGCTTTTTTGATGTCCTTCCTTGTTTCCTTCCAAGTATTTGGAAAATGACAAAGCCAAAAACAATGATTGAATAAATGAGTTAGGCGAACCAATGGTTACCTTGGAAGGTGCCTGAGGCATTCATTTGGGATGCCGTCAATTCCACAGGCCTTTTTTAACTTCAGGGATTTTATTACTTTCTGAACGTCACATGGTCTGATCCTTAGAGGGGGGTTTTCATCCGTGGCTTCCAGCAGAGCTTGAACTCTAGCCGCCACCCGCTCCTCATGGTTTTCGTCGCACAGATCATGTGGCGTGAACTGAATTTCCAAACAGTCGGTAATTTCGTTGGCTTTTTCAGAAGGATGAAATTTTAGGCCAGAAGAACCATTAATAGCAGTTGGTGCCCTTGGTCCGTCTCTCTGAAGGAGAGATTTTGCAATGGGCCATATACACTGAGGTGTGACTTCAGCGTTACCTATTTTTGTTTCCCACCATTCAAGTACCTTTTTACGGGTCATTCGCCTGATTGATTTGGTGACCCAATTGACTGCCGTTTTACACGCTGGATCCCTGGTTTCTTGCCACAGTTTTCGTAGCCTCTGTTTATATTTTATCAAACGATCTAGACCAGGAAGATCGTTGTTTATGTCCAAAAGTGTAACTTTACTTGTCGACAGCCTATATGCCGAAGCAATAGAGGCTGCAAAGTCGCGTGCCGCTTTATCGGCTTCTACCCCCGAATTAATTTCTAGTTTAGGTGATATTAATTCAGAAGCGAGGCTTTGAAACCGCTCCCAATCTGTAAATTTTTCAATGGGTTCCGAAAGATTCCTAATTTTAACGTGATCCAGTATGTGAAATACTATTGGTAGGTGATCTGAATCCAAAATATCAGAGACGACGACCTCTGACATTCTGATATTTTTGTGAACCACAATGTCTAACACGTCACCATTTCCCGCAGGGGAATAATGAGTGGGGCACTGTGGTGCTGAGATTTCGAAATCACCCATATCAAATAAATCCATAAGTTTCAAACCTGAGGGGTTTAAAGCTCTGCTATTCCAAAATGGGTTCTTAGCATTCAAATCACCTGCCAAAATAGACTTACGTCTGAAGCTTAAGAGCTCAGTGATATCAGCATCACTCCAGGCTTTGCCTGGAGATTTATAAACAGCTGCAAGCAGCACTTCGCTATTACCAATTGGTATGCAGACCCCTGTCGCTTCTACTGAAACAAGGGGTGGTAGGTCTACATGGTTATGGGGAATGCCTTTTCTTACTGCAACGGCAGTTCCGCCTTTTCTGCCTGAGTGGCGGTCGATCCAATAAAAGTGGTAATTTGGAATAAAGAACCTCTGATGAGGTTTCAGATGTGTCTCTGAAAACAGGGCCACATCTATGTGTAGGTCTTGCAGCTGTTTACTGAGCTCATAGCGCTGCCTCCCAATGCCATTCGCATTAAATGCTATGACTTTGAGGGGCCTATGAACTCTAGTGGCCATTCTGTTTCATAAGGTTTAGAACAATTTTGGTAATGGCCATTATTTTGTCCTCCTCGGACACTGCACCACTGACCTCTGTCATAATCTGCTGTACTACTGTCACTACTCTCAACATATTGTCGAGAGACTGACCGTTTACATTAGTAGCCTGAACCAACTGACCTGTTTCTTTCTGTAGTGTAGGGGCTGGTACAATCTGCTTCTTTGTTGTGGCTGGAGCCACCAGAACATGGCTTTCCTGAGGGCGCTGATGCTGCTCTGCTGTACTGCCTCGGAGACACCTGGAGTTATGGTGGCTGAAAAGAACACCTTCCCCGTAATTTTGTACGTTCTCTGAACCTTCCTTCTCTGTTGTTCTTCTTTGGCATGTTTGCAACCCCGATAATTGGCGGGATGTGGCTTTTCTCCCTCTGCCAATCAGCAGGTGCAGCATACTGGGGTGGAGGCAGAGTTCTCCTTCTCTGGGCACTCCTTGTGTAAGTGGCCACCTCCGCACCACAAAAAACGTGGGGGCTGTTTGCAGTTAGCCCAAACATGGCCAAACTGCTGGCAGTTGTAGCACTGTGTGAGCCCGTTTTGTGCCTTATATGCCTCTACCCTGATGGCAATGTGGCAGAGGTTGATCAGTAGGAAGATTTCTTGGGACTTCTCAGTTCTGGGAATTGTAACAAGGAACAAGGGAAGGTAGATAGTATTTGTTCCTTCTGGAGGAGTCCGACAACTGGTCATTTGTTTGATGCTAATGACGTCAAACCCCAGACTCACCAGACCGTCAGAGATATCTTTTGCCGGAGTATTTTGTGGAAGGTGTCGGATAACAGCTTTGATGGGTTTCTCAGACTTAGGAAAGAATGTAAAGTATGATAAATTGTTATTTTCTAGGAAATTTTTTATGGCTGAGAAGTCCGCCATTTCCTTCGTGACAATTCTGGTCCCGCTCCTGGTGTTGTGGAACTCAAAATTGCCCGTGACTAGTTCTTTGACCTTCCTCTGCAACTGCATCAGGTTTGTCGTGGAGGTTAGTACAATTGAATGCGGCCTACCTGGCTTTTTGTCCGATGTCTGCTGTTCTCCCGACTTGTTGGCTGACTCTTCCACGTCCATTCCTGATGTCCTCAGGGGCGCAAAGAAGTTCTTTGTTTCTACTTCATTCTGGGATTTTATTCTAGGATCCCTGGGGCTAGGTGATGGCTTCGGTTTTTTAGTCTGTTCTCCTGAGGAGTTTCGCTTTCGTCTCCTTTGCTCACGAAATTCCTCGGCTGAATCTTCTTTTTCTTCCAGCAGGAGAGACTCTCGCATCTCCCTGTGGATGGCAGCATAGAGGCGCAGCATGGCTGTAAAGAGCGGTAAAGAGCGCCTTGCCATCGATGTGCTTACACAGCACTGTCCTCTCGGCCTCGGATTTCGTTATAAGTTTATTCCATACTGCGCCGTTTCCATTTATTGAGGGCGATGTATTGATAAGCTGCCCTATAGTTTGTAAGCCTTTGCTCAGTAAGTTGATATCTTCCTGGCAGTCAGGATTACTATTTCTCAAGTTTACGTGGTTCCTGTCAAAGGAAGCCACGATTGTATTCCACCGCGTTTCACAAAAGGTCGGCTCCGTCATTTCGTCCATTGCAGACGAGACGGCCACCACCTCCGATGCACTAGCCATGCACTGTACACTGGTAGCAGAGTAGTCAACTAGGTAGGCTGCAGACGAACACACTCCAAGTTAAGGTCACCTGAGACAGCTCAAAAACTCCTTCAGTAAGCGTCTCTCGAACTAATCTCACTCCTGCCAAACTTCCACCGCCTGGGCAAAATTTTTCAACAAACCGAGTCCAGCCAAATCGTCAAACAGACAATACATACATACATACATACATATACATTTGCGTTTCAGATTATTCACAAATGTGCACAGGCACAGAATATAAAACATGTCAACAAGCCAACAAGACATTGGAAACTTGTACATTCACAAACAAAATCACTAGCATATATAATCCATACTTGTCAAAAAAACACATAAAAAATGTTAAAAGAAAATACAGATTGCAGCAAATACACATACAATAGTTAAAAAGCAATACAAATTGCAACAAGTACACATACAATAGTTAAAAAGCAATACAAATTGCAGCAAGAATATATAAGCACAGCCAAGGACATAGAGTTAAATGAAGTGTACACTGTCAGACACCTCTTGACAGGTCTTGACAGAAAAGCAAGAATTCCTCAACAGTATAAGAAGGGTTTTGAAGCAATACATCCTTTAGTTTCTCAATAAACTGTTTTTTTTCTTGTACCAACTCAATTAAAAAATCAGGCAAACTATTAAAAAGCAGTGTTCTGGGATTTGGCACCGTGTACACATATACACGGTGCCAAATCCCAGAAGACTGCTTTCTTCATAGTCACCGCCGTGAAAGCCTCAAATCTTACACAGACAATCTCTCTGATCTCGTAACCTCGACGGATGGATCAACAAACGTATCTCTCGCCTCCTGATCTGATCAATTTTCGATCATTTTTGCTATATCGTCTACCGTCGTCGTTAAATAGCCCCTCAACCCAATACAAACAAACACAAAAAAGAACATACGTTTAATATCCCGGTTCGAGTTGGGACCGGAAGGACCTAATTCTTTCCATTACAAGCACTCGATCTACTCGATATAGCTCGATATGCTCGATATGTCGTATATTGGTAGCATTTGTTCACGATTTAAATGCGAATTTAACGTGAATTGCGTTGCTAATTTAATGTGGCTGTACGGGTTATTTTATATATGGTTCAAATTGTTGTCACAGTGAACAGGTTGAAGTGTCGTATTCGATTACACTGACTACTATTCGCATTACCCCTATAACGCTCTATAACGTTTCAGTTTACCTAAGTTCCCAGACGTGAACTTCCTTCTGTTCCGCACAGGGCACAGTGTACCCTTACGTCACTGTTCAGTTTAGAACAGTGTCTTCTTAAACGATTTGTTTGTGGGTGTGGTTTGGTTTCGTATATGTAATGACCTCATTTACGGCTTGTCCCTCTGAAGAGTAGCACGTGACAGCATTAACATGGTTTTTGAATCAATTGTAGCAGACTTATTAAATCGATTTCTTGGCGATTATGTGGAAAATTTAGATCACTCTCAGCTGAAAATCGGTATCTGGGGAGGTAAGGGAAGTGTCATTGTGACATTTTTATGCCATTGCTGTAGCTATGTGGTGTTTTTCAATTACGTCAGCCAACCAAAAAGCAACAAGACACTACCATTTGCTAGTTTCATGACCGATGCATGCTGTGTAAAAAGTGTTTTGTGTTTATTACTTTGTGTGTGTAACTGGAAGAGTGTACTCCCATGTCTGTGTGTTCTTTGTAACTTTGCAGGTGATGTGGTTCTCCAGGATTTGGTATTGAAGCAGAGTGCTTTGGATGATCTAGATCTCCCGGTTAAAACAGTTTATGGAACCTTAGGTATTCAAATTTTATATTAAGAATTGCAGTAAATTAATTAACATTTATTTTTGTTTGAAATAGCCTATTCATAGGCAAATGTGATCAATCATATTATGTTTAAAGGAAAAAATTGAAATATTGGCATTCTGCCAGTAAAATCATTTGGCTGTGTCCAGAAGAATTTGGAGACAATCATAGTTAACAGTCGTAATTCAGTATTGCTTCAGTTTAGATTACATGCGAGCTTGGAACTTCTTTGAGCAGTTTAACAGTTTCTGTAGTGAATCACATGAACAATAACTTTGTATGCCACCATTATTTTAGAATTGTTTTACTAGTTCCAGACATGAGTACAGTGTGAGAGTTAGACATAAGATGTTTTAAGTTTGCATTAATCTGACTTTATTGTGAATTGATAGGAAAATTAGTATTGAAGATTCCTTGGAAGAACCTATACAGTGCCCCAGTAGAAGCATCAGTGGAAGGTCTATTCTTGTTAGTGGTACCTAATCAAGAGGTGAAATATGACCCTATTAAGGAGGATAAATGGAGCCAGGAAGCTAAGAAAAATGAGTTGCAAAGGATTGAAGATGCCAAGAAACGGGAGAAGGAGAAAGGTAAGAGGGAACTGACAAATAATGCATTAATAATATTGTATTGAAATCATGCATTTTGGTTTACCTGAAGTTCATACATTTGTACATTGTCTAAATTTTATGTATTAGTTAGTTAGTTATTGGAGAGGGTGGGTTTCCCCATGCAATTAGACCTTTATTGATCCATTGTGCTTCCCTCTATGATTTCTACCAGTCTCTATATCCTACTGGTACTGGTGCTTACCATCAGTCCCGCCCAGCCAGCGAGACCGGCTCTACTAGGTGAGAGGTATCTATAATGCTTCCCCCATCTACCAGAGGTATTAGAGACTGCTGTTGGGTGGGAAACGTCCATAATTTGGCTCAGTGACCTCCTTTGGAGATATGAGGTTCTTTTACGTGCCATAAAGCTACGACACGGGACCCACGGCTTAAAGTCCCTCCCGGAGGACTTGTTCCCTGAATTTTTCTGCCCTTAAAAATTCGACGACCTCCGCAGGGTATTTGAACCCGCGTACTACGAGTCATGAGGTGTGAACGTTACCTCTAGACTACGGAGGCCACTTTATGTATTAGTATTTTCATGTATGTTTGTGTGGACACCTGTTTGAGATATGTACATTGATTTTGGAAGAAGTTTACGATATGGTGACCATGTTTACCTACTTACTTTGAATTTTACTTGTTTCTTCTGTCATAAGTGTGTTTACACGGTTTGTTAAAAAGTTCCTGTAAAGACCATATGGAGCAACACCAGCTGTGCATATGGATGTATGTGGAATGGCAGATAGTTGTGACTATAGCTTACAGATAGCAGGTTATTTCAGAGAGTACAGTTGACATTTTGTAGTCATACAACTGTTTGCGTAATTGTGTGATTTAGTTTTCTTATGATGTAATGTGGCTTTCATATAGGAGCAAGAACTCATGTGAAATATTGTGTAAAACAGCTGTAGGTACCTACTGGAATTTGTTGAAGTTTATGGCAGTGAGATGTAGAGTAAAAGAATGAGTGAATGGCACAGGCATTTCCAAAGTGCAAGAACTTCAACAGAGTATGATGCAAGATGAAGCCGACCATAAACTTCAAGAAACAATTCTTTGATGGTTCAAGTGAAAGACATTCATACAAATCGTCAGCTGACTATACGAGAAGTAGCAGAAGAGAGTGAATTATCCAGTAGTTCATGTTACACAGTTTTAACAGAAAAGTTTGTGATGTATCAGATCTTGGCAGGATTTGTTCCAGGGCTCTTAACTGAAGATCAAGGAATTAAGTTGGTTTTAATTTGTGAAGGTCTCCTGCTATGAGTGAATGATGAAACATTTTTAAAAACATAACTGGGGATGAGACTCAGGTCTGTGGGTATGATGTTGAAAAAGATTAAGGTTTTTGCTATGACAGTGTCCATACCTGCTCTGGCTACCACCCAGGCTCTTTTCCACTGGGAACTGGCATTCTTTCCTCGGGTGTAAAGTGGCCAGTGTGTGTTAGTTGACCACTCTGTCCCATCTGGTACTGAGGTTAAGAATGTCTCTTAAAAGTATGGTATGTAATTAAGCACAGAGACAACTTTACCTTTCATTCATTCATCAATGGCTCTACAGCCCTTTGTTGGGCCCTGGCCTCTTCTTCAGTTTCGTAATCTTTTTTACATGGACAGTACCTTGGACAAATGATTAGCCCATCACAAGGCCTCTGCCGGCATGCAGGACAATACAAACAGAATAAATGCACACATAAACATCTATGCCTTGAGTGGGATTTGAATCCATGATCCCAGCGTTTGAGCGAGCAAAGACAGTTCATGTCCTAGACCTCAGCCACTGTGATCAGCACATTTTACCTCTACTAGTTATATAAGACTGGTGCCTTATTATGTGAGGGTTGGACACTAAACAAGAAAGAGGAATCAGTCATCAATTCTTTCGAGAGGAAAATCCTAAGACGAATTTATGGACCAATAAAAGAGAATGGGATATGGAGAATAAGATATAATAAAAAAGAGTTATTCAAATTATATAAGGAGCCAGAGATCTCAGTGATGATAAAGCTTAAAAGATTGCAATGGGTTGGGCATGTACAGAGAATGGATAAGGAGCGTATCCCAAAGAAGAGAGCAGCACAGGATAGAGAGGAATGGAGGGGCTTGATAAGGGAGGCCAAGGCCCGACATCGGGCTGTTGCGCCGAAGAAGAAGAAGAAGAATAAGTTATGTATGCTTCTGTTGCATCTAATGAAATTAAATTTAACAAGCTGGATTTGAGGTTCTCACAGTGGTGATTGAAAATATGGTCGTATTGAATGTAATGCTGTGTAGTTCAAAGAGACTGAGGCTTCTGTAGCTGTAAAGAATTATATTTTGTTGTTCTGGGGATGTAATGTGATGTATTGTTGCAGGTGGTTACCACTGTTTTCAAGAAAACTGTTGCTACTCTGTAGATACAGACAGAATGTTTCTTGGATATGTTGGTACCACACTACATGATGTTACAACCCAGAAGAACATAATGTACAGGAGGATGGTGGTTTTTTTCATAGCCCATTTTCATTTCTTGAGAATAATACGTGTTGAATTATGAGATTGAAGTAGGTTATCATTATCTTTTTATTTACCAGAACAAAAACAGTTTTCTTACATTGTGCGGGTGAAATTTACAACACAAATTAATTGACTATGTTAACAAAAGAAAACTCATTATTAAGCCTTTAAAGCACATTTGTATGAAATGTGTTAACATTAAAAACTGTGGGTTGCGCCCACACAGTGTGTGTGTGTGTGTGTGTGTGTGTGTGGTATGTGTGTATAGATATGGATGTCAGCTAATTCCCAGAGTAAACAGTAATTATTTCTGTAAGCACCATTAACTAGTTNAGCAGAGAGGGAAGGGTGGAAGGGCAAGTATACAAGTGAAAGCAGTGGTGTGGGAGGGGTAGGGGAAGGGAGCTGGGGCAAGCATGGTTTTGTGTACGGGAGAGAAAGCAAGGTTAAAGGCTGGGCTCTAACCGTAAGCTGAGGCTGAAGATGGAGGCGATACGTTCCTCCGAAACGTCGGTTAACACCACATATACACGGTGCCAAATCCCAGAAGACTGCTTTCTTCATAGTTGATCTTTGTAATGCTAATGGATTGTGCTTCATGTGAGGTTGGAACTGAACTCACAGGTGTTATGCAGATGAAGTCAGTGTTCAGAAAGTTAAGACTGCTTTATTTTTTGAAAGAGTGCATCAGTGGAGAAGATGTGAGCAAGGACACAATTCATACCCTAATGTACAGCAAGATTAGAAGCTCTTTAAAAAATAGCATACATATAGGAATGAGTGCAAGGCTCTTAGGCATCTGAGTTCCCAGACAGTGTGTTGCTGTCTATGGGTGCTGTTCAAAAGTATTAAAACAGTTTGGAGCACATCAATTTCCTGTAAGCACTAAACGTAGCATAATTGCCTTGAAACTGAAATCAGTGATGAATCATAATGGAAAATACATTATATTTTCTGAAACATTACAGCACAAAACAAGAACGGGAATTGCAGAATCATTGAGCTCCAGTATTAATTGTTCATATTTTAAACGAATTTTGGGTTCTAATTCTGTGTTGGATTTCATGTTCTCACTGCACTAAATAAGAATATTTCTGTCTCCTGGAATAAAATTCCACGTAATCCAATGAAAGTCAGCTGACATTTTGGAGGAGCATATTGTCTCCTTTGTCAAGGTCGGAGAGCGTGCCAAGAAAGGAACCAGTGTGACAAATCATTGGATCATGTGGTGTTATATCGCACAAGACAGAACTACACAAATATTCATCTGTGCGAGTTCCCTTATAATATTTTCAATAAGACGGTTATATAATTACAGATAAACCAAAACCTGATGATACTTTCGTGGAGAAGCTTGCAACACAGATTGTCAAGAATGTGCAGGTGAAGATCACTGATATTCATGTTCGCTATGAAGATAAGGTGACAAAACCAGAACATCCATTTTCCCTTGGCTTCACACTCCATAATCTCTCTGTGCACACAACAGATGAGAATTGGAAAGCATGTATTGTTCAAGATGCAGCCACAATGATCTATAAGGTGAGAAGTCATATCCCTATAACAGGCCATGAAGGCCCATAAGGTTGTGAGGCATCGAAGCTCCCACATTTTCTCTAGAGAGCTATCTCACAGATGACAGTAAGGTTGGCAGCCTTACGTGCCGGCCACCCTTTATCCCACAAGATGGTTTCTGGTACTCATTTCTGTTAGAGGCTCAGTGGACCCTAGGGCCGTAGTGTGGCTGGAAGGATTAGGTCAGTTTAAAAAATCCACCTCATCAGTACTTGAACCCTTGACCTTCTAGCTTGTAGCATAGTGCCTCAACCAGCTATGCTACCACGTGCCCCGAGAAGTCATAACATATTTCATATACACTAAGGGCGTTGTAGTAACAGTGATTTCAATTTCCTCCCTGGAGGTGAGGCATGTGGAGCATGAACTTAACTCGTCTCTGGCTGAACTATGTGTGGAGCTTCAACATCACATCCATGATATCACATGGTGTATAAGCACACGCAAAGTATTTTAACCTGTCATTTCTTTCTGCCATCTCATAGTCCATAAGACACATCGATTGTAGTTGTATATACATTGGGTTTTAGCTGTGACTTATATTTCTTTCATGTGATATAATATTTGACTGAAAAGTAATGTGGTTAGAACATCCCATGAGTAATTTTGGGACACATATTATTATATTATTGCACTGAGACCAACAGTAACTCTTTATTTTGCTCTTTGTAAAGTGTTTCTAACTAAGGGAATATTTTTAGCATGCTGAATAGTTATTTTTTGTAAACGTGATCAATACAAAAACATACTGTAAACATCTATATTGTGTAATTAGTAGAATAGTTAATAATACAAATTCTACCGTCAGCGCAACTATAATTTATTAACCTATGTTCCACTACATGTTTCGACCCTTACAGGGCCATCCTCAGGTGTTGTGATTTACACATTTTCATTATTGAATTGTAAAGTGTGTAGTCATATTAAAAACTAGCTGTACCTGGCCATGCGTTGCTGTGGCAGATCGAATGAATTGCTTCCACTCCATGAGTATGACAACCTAAGTTTGATCTTCTGCGAGGCATTATTTGGATGAACTAAAGCAGATCGATTGCACTGAAGAAGAAGAAAGAAAGTTATAACAAAAACATATAAAATTGCAAAACATTAAAAAAGGAAAGAACACAAAAACAAAGAAACAAAAAGAAAATAAAAAATACTAACGAAATATTTCAATTCAAACGCAGATCAATCGACACAGCTCACTCCCACCGCCAATTGCACTGAAAAATAAGGAGAACAGTTAAGAAAACGAAATGAAGAACAATGAAAAATAAACTATACTCATGAAATGAACGACGTATAACACATTACAGTATATTAATATTGAGTACAATTAATATTTTAACAACCAACCAACCTGTCACAGGTGTGACATATGTCACACATGATTTTAACATCATAAAGTCTTAAAATACATTTTTAGTGAGTGACATATTCTTGATGTCTTTTAAATTGTTGCATTATTTATGTGTACTTTGATAACAAGAATATGTCGTGTGTTACCTATGTAACGTTGTTGTGGTCACGTGTCTCCTATTCCGTCTGACAAATAACTTCCACGTACGTCTCGGATTCAGCAAATAAGTTATTGAACGCTCACTTTTACACCAGCAAGTACAATTATTATCATGTCCAGTATCACCAAAAAACTCTTCAGAGCTGGACTGTTATAACCTGGTTTCGGACGCAATAGAGGCCACTTTCGCCCAGGGTTCGATTTTACGTGTTCTGTGCTCGTTGCCACGGTTATTTCTAGGCAACGATCTGTTGGTATTTGATGGACGACAGAACACCTTGTAGAAGTGTTTGGTTTCATCTGTTGTTACGCAACAGAACCACTTATCCTCTCATCTCCGGGGAAACGTGTTTGTTGTTTCAGCAATTCCTATGCAATGGCCTACTGTTATTGCATTTCCATGGAAGTATACTTTCCGGTTTCATCCGTTGTTACGCAATGGAATCTCTTATCCTATGCAACTGTTCTAGCGTTACTGTGGAAACGACTTCTGGATTCAGAACATGTGACACGTTTTTACCTGTTTTTACCTGTCATGGGTGTGACATCTATATAATAGGTACATAAAAAAATGCGCGTATTCGAATGCAATGTAGTATCAAAATTTCAAAGCAATCAGTGAAGAACTTTTGGAGATTTTCGTACAGGGACAAACGAACATTTACATTTTTATTTATATAGATAGTAGAACAATATTTTGCTAAACATACAGACTTTAAACATTTATATTATGTTGTTAGAAGAACAGAATTTTACATCATTCAAGTTAAATTTGTTATACCAAGAAACTGCTAAGTTCATCAGTAGCATCAGCAGCAGCGGCAGCACCACCACTGCTTTTGCCGCTGTTGCTGTCATCATCCATCATCATCATCATCATCATCATCATCCTTGTTTTATTTGGTTACAAGTGTTGAATGGTAGGGTGATATGTGAATAATGAATTGGCAAGGATGTGGAAGGAAGCAGTTGTGGCCTAACTTGAAGTGCCATCCCAGAGAGTTGATGGAAAGACTGAGGAAGACCATAAAAATTGTCAATAATTATGGACACTGTCCTGGATGAGACTAGGACCAGGTCCCTTTTGATTATAATTCGGAAGCTTTACTGATTGCTTGGTGCCACAAACTTGACAGAACAAAGTAAGAACATAAGCAGTGCTTTAATGACAAAGATGAGTGAGACATATTTTTAAAAAATAAAACAATATATTCTTGTAAGATTTAAACATGAATAATAATGAAAATTACATATAGTTCATTTTTGTATTACTACTGACTAAAAGTGAAGTTGTTTTTCTGTTTAATTAATCACCACACCATGTTTTTATGGAGTGGAGGTATAGCTCCACACTTTCTTAAACTTGGCACTAGATGAAGGTGAGTGGTCAATGTCATGGTCCACACACTGTACTCCAGGGGATAGCCCCCTGGTACCCCATTGGCTAGGAGGCTGCAAGGGTTGTCTGAAGCCGGATGTCGTGAGGAAGAGAGGAAACTCTGCACCTATTGGGAGTCAGATCCCAGTTCCACCTTTGTTTTCCAAGTTGTAGCCTGTTCATTGTGCTGGCTCCCATTGCTGTTGACCTGTAATTGTTAAATCTGTAGTGTTTTAATAAAGCTTATTTTTGTAATTGTGAAATGCTGCCAAATGTCCAAATGTTATAATACCATGTAAAACTAAGCTTCATATGTTCTGACAGCAGCTGTTAACAATATATATATTTAAATCATGCACATTTGGCAAACACTATATTTTTTAAGAGCTGATGCACTTTTGACCCTCATGTTGAATGCATAGAAAAGTAAGATAGAACAGAGAGGCTTTGAAGTTGAAACCTAGCTCAGTAAATAATTTTCTTATGAAGAGGAGGAGTTGTAATCTGCAATAGGTCACTGGACATGTTATTTTAATTCCTGGCTTTTATTTTAGGTCTTGAATCTGGAAGGACTTTCTGTGTATTGGAACCCCCACTCCATATTCTTCTCAGGTAAACCAGCTGAAGAAATGAAGAATTTATTTAAACAAGGAATTTGTACAAAGGTCGAGCAACCCAAAGGTTATAAATACAGTAAGTGAATGCATTCTTTTTTTTTTGTATTATCTGTTGTTAAGATAAATTTAAGAAAAATCACTTGAGATTTGAGGTTCTCACAGCAGTGACTATGAGTATTCTTGTCTTCAGGGATATGATACCATGTAATATGTTGGATACGTACCAACATTTTGAAGGAATGTGCTACCTTTATCTCCAGGACACAAAGAGTACTTCACTCTTCTCCTATAGGCAGCACATTCTGCTTGAACGTCAGTAAGTATGTAGCAGACTAGATATGGTTGGTCCCAGAAAGTGGCAGTATACAAGAAAAGAATATGTTACTCTTGCTATTTGAGATTCTTCAGCGGTGGTTATGAAGATTTCTGTCTTCTCGTATATAACAACATGTCTTTGTCATCATCATCATCAAAAGAGCCCTTTTTGCTGCAGCTTTCCCTAGATGTCTACCAGACTCATCTTTTCTGTCATGAATTAGACCATCCACTTTTCACTTCTTTGGATTTTGCAACAGTCATTTTTTTTAAAGAGCAAGGTCATTGGCCTTGCATCCAAACCCTAATCTGGAGGACCAGGTCTCTGTAGTTATGTCCCCCATGAGAAGGTGGCCCAGTTATACTCCCAGGCACCAGATTCCCTTTTTGTTGTCTTCTCTGACTTGCAGGGTATCACTGGAGGAGGTATTCTAACTTGCCTCCACATGGGGGCTATAACAGCATGCAGTCCATTGAAAGTTACTCAACTTGGAGGAACAGCTGGCCATAATCTTCTGGATTGAAGAATAAGCCAAGCAAGAAAGCAGCAATTGTTGCCTGCTTCATGCGGGTTTTATGCTTGATTTGTTTGATCCTGAAGATGGAGGCAGCATGTTGCTCTGAAACATCGGCAACTTTCAGTGAGCTACACAGCATTGTATCTTCACCATGCTCATGTTTCACATCCTGTTTTTTTATGTGTGTTTGTAAGTCAGATGATGTAATTGTGTGACTAACTGCGTGCTGCAGAATTCATCTTCAGTTGCTAGTAGTCGCTCAGTCACCTTAACAAAAGCCCATCACTGGCCTCTGCCCTGAGTCAGGTAATTCCAGTCCACAACCTCCCATTCTGTTTTTCTAAGATATATTTTTATATAATTCTCTCGTGTACACCTACGTCTTCCAATTAGTCTCTTCCGTTCAGCTACAATGCTGTGTACAGTTTTCCTCTATCCCATACATGTTACATGCCCTCCTTATAACCATTATTTTATTGCATTACACATTTACGTTATTTATTATAAGAATACAAGAACTCCCAGAGGAATGTGGGTGTACGATTATCATTCCATAGGGTAGTTAGTTATGTCATGTCATTGTGTTACCTGACGTACTGATATGTAGTGGCAACTGACATACTATGCCGAAGGATTTGGTTTATTATATATTTCAGCAATACTAAGCTCAGCATTGTAATACATTTTAGGCTGACTGGCATTTTCATCGTCACCGTAATAAAAACAGTGGATGAAAGGCTGTTTATCTTATGGGTATTTCTTCTGTCCTGGTTAAAGATGACTATGACATTGCCGAAAAAAATTATCAACACATTCACTCTTAACATTTCTTTATCCTTAACTATTGGAAAAAGTTCCACCTTTTTTCCTTTCATTTATCCCTTTTGTACCTTCCTTTTTTTGTTATAACATCGAATTTAATTACATTGTGGTTCATCAGATGATGAACACAGAGTGCTGCCTATGAAAATATGTGAAAAGTACATGTTTCTAGAGTAATAGCATGTGAACGGCATAGCATACACACATTATTAATCATCAACTCTGTCCTGTTGTGCATATAAATTCTTAGCAAGAAGTGTGGCATTGTATCTTGCCATGGTTCATCATCAGGACAGATGATACCTCTAGTCTGGTCACAAGAACAAATGTGCAAGAATTTATGTAAGAAAACTGCACACTAATCATGGTGGCATTTTTGTGACAGAGTCTGTTTATGATGCCATGAGTCACTGAGCACTGATGCTGACCACCTACGTGAGTGCTCAAACAATATGCTTTAACTGCTGGCTGAGCTCCATGTAAGAGTGGTATAAATTAAATTTAAACTATCTCAACATTTAACTGGTTACATTTAGAGTGACATGGTTTTCTTATTCTGTTTGTGTTATTTTCAAGTGCTTGGCCCAATAAATTCAACAGCACAGCTGCGATTAAATCCAAAACCTGAATACGATGGCTCAGATTACAAAATACCGAAAGTCAGGCTCAGTTTGGAGATGGAAAAATTATCAGTAGGTAAGTTTCGTTACTGAAGGTAGATTGGATCCTAATGTTTGAAATCACTGAAACATGAATTTACACGTAGTATTGTATATTGTAGTGCAAGAAGCTAATGTGAGGCATTGTTACTATGTTAAATATTTTGTGAATTATTTCTATCTGTAGCAAGAGAATATAATGCAACAATTAGGTGATAAAGGGAATTGATTAAAATTAAGAAGACTGGTCATTTTGATTTATTTCCTACAAATTATTAAGCCAGATCTGAGGTTGTTAATTCCTTATTTACATAGTGTAAATGTATAATACAACACTGGACTGTAATTTAATTAATGTTGGTCTCATAGGCAGGTGACATGGGTGTGCATTCAGATCCTAGTAGAGTCAGAATTCCTTTATTGCTTGCAATTGTAAATATGTTATAAATTATTACTGTTGTTGATACAACAAGAAGTTACATTTTATTTGTGGAAGTAAATCACTGTTTAAATGGGATCGCTCAGTCAATATAGTGATGGGCTACAGGGTAGATGGCTGGGATTCGTTTCCTGGCATTTGTAAGATTTTTCTTTTCTTCATAGTGTCCAGACTGGCCCTGGGGCACACCCAGCCTCCTGTCCAATAGATTCTGGGAGCTCTTTCCCTCTTTCGCCAGGAGTAAAGTGGCCGGGGTGTGAAGCTGACCTCTCACATCCAACTAGTGCTGATGTCCCCCCCCACAATATATCTTCATGGCATAATGCTTAATTAATTAAGCGCTGGGTATCTTTACCTTATTTATATCTTAAGTACATATTTTGTCTTCATTAAGTTTGTCAAAAATAGCCTCAGATTTCATGCCATCACCATGTTTGTAACTGTTGACTCATAAGCAGTGCTTTGTATAGAATTTGTATGTGTATGATCTGTCTCTGTACCAGATTGTAATTGCCTAGGTTGAAAAGTTCATTGCTTATCATCAGATTGAAAGCTAATTATAAATTACATGATTGCACACCACTTTGTCACATTGTTTTGCATTCTGCAAAAGGAAAAAAAGAAAAGTTGAAAAAAAAGAGAATAAAGAAGAAGAAAGAAAAGGAGAAATGCACATTTAAAGAAGGTGCATGTTTGTCAAAGGTCTGTTCTATTACTGTGTGACATTTTAGGACACTGCCTTAAGTGGCAGTGTTGTTGCTGCCACCAAAGAAATGTGTGTGCCTACAGTGTTGTTACTGGAGCTGCGATAGGTCAGTCATCGTAGTGACATGCTGCTGGGTTTGAGTCCCAGCAGTGGCAAGAGATCAGGCTCAAAAATGTTTGTAACTGGAAAATGGGCAGGTGTACTTGTCTAGAGGTGGGGTAGAAGCATGTGTTGATATCAGGAGCTGCTGTTTTGTTGCTTCTCTGAAAGTGAATATAGATGAATGTACCAGTTACATAATGCATGTTGCATTACTCACTTAGGATATGTTGTAAGTTGCATAATTGTTTGACATTCATATGATATGTGACTCATATGAGGGAGAGCTATGGCCATGTGTTGCACTATCTTGTTGCATAATTCAGAGCAACCTTATCTGGGCCTAGGGGCACACCATAGTGTAGTGGGTTGAGGCAGTGTGCTACAAGCTGGAATTTCACAGGTTCGATTCCCAAAAAGATCATTGGACTTTTCAGTTGATCTAATCCTTCCAACCTCAAACAGAAATAAGTACCAGGACTCTTCATGGGGGTAAAGGGTAGCCATTGCATAGGGGTGACAAACTCAGCACCATCTATGAGCCAACTGCCCAGAAAATGCGGGAGCCTTGACATCTCACAACCCTATGGGCCTCCACGGCCTGTTACAGGGATAGCTTTACCTTTTACCTTATCTGAGCCAAGGGTGGCCAGCTCCGTTGCTGCTATGAAATTATCTGTTTCACAGCCTTTCAAAATTGTTCAATTGGTTGACTTACCATTATTTATGATATAGCTACTGAAAGCATTATTTAGTGTCCGATGAACTGAGAAGCTGTTTGATTTGAGATTATCACAAGAATGACTATGTTGTTGCAATGTAGTCAGTATATCACCAGTATTTTGGAGGAACATCCATGAACTTCTGTTAGCCTGCATAACACATCCCAGATGAGAGTACTTGTTGTTTGAGAAGATGACTATGTGAAGGACTATGAGATGTCATTAGCACTTTGAGGTACTATCCAAGATTTCACTTGGAGGGTGATGAAAAACCTTGATCATGACAACCAGTACCCTAGCCAAGTTTTGGACTAGGTACCTCGTGAATACAATTCAGCCCCATTACTACTTGAGCCAATTGTTCACAGAATTGTAAACTGAAAAAGCTAGAAATATTTTCACATTTTCAGCCTACAATTGATTGAACGTGTTTATATAATTATTGAATTTTCAGAACCATTCTGCTTAATATTACTGCTTGATGTATGTTTCTTCCCCCCCAGCAATAAGCAGATTTCAGTATCATGACCTGATTGATCTGTTGGAGTCATTCGAAAGAATGTCTCGGGGAGCCCCATATAGAAAGTATCGACCATTTGTGAACAGTTACAGAGGTCACTACAAAGCATGGTAAGTGTTTTCATTGCAATTTAAGGTGCTCTCTGAGCATTTAGCCAAGGAACTAAGGAAGTCATGAAAGACCTCAGTTAGAAAAGCCAACCTGCAGGTCAAAATTTAAACTTGCTATCTCCTTAATACAGTAGGAATTCTGGCTGCTTGACTGTAATGTTCTCATGAAACTTGCTCTGCACTGAAGCTCACATATACATAGCTATTTGTGAGAATGATATTTTATGTTTAAGACAGGATTACGATGAGAATATTGTGGCATGATGACTGATGAAGACAGCCATTGCTTGTTAATGACTCAGTAAACAAATTTCCGTGACAGCGAATAAATACAGAACAATAAAAGAACTGTTGGAAACGGTGTTTTCTATTCAGTCTGACCTGAGGCTGAGGCTATGTAGTGAGTTGCCATCAGCAGTTGCAGTCAGTATTAGCTGATGGCCAGTGAGAGCCAGGGATGGCCAGTGAGAGCAAGAGTAGTCGGTGATGGCTAATAATGCCACAGGTTAGTTGAGGTAGTTTTGAGGTAGTCAGTGGCCGGTAAGGATGTAAGCAGAGGACATTGTTGTGACCCATTACCAGGCAATGGCTAGTGAAGCAAACTTAAAAGGCTTAGTGTGTGCTGTAGTGAGAAGTAGTAAGAGCATTGTAATTATTTGTATATATGATTTATAAGTGTTCAGTAAATCTAATCACCAATCCAAACCCTGTGTCTAGTAACTAACACGTGACAGTATAGAAAGATTTTACTGCTCAAAACAAGAGTGAGGGTAGTTTTTCACTGTAATTGCAGTTTATAACACTGGCAACCTTTACACAATGCACTAAGACACATTACTTACACCTTCTGATATCAGTTATTTTCTCAATGAACGTTTTTCTTGTGAATTGTATTAAAAAATTCAGTTATAGGCCCATATCTAGTTTTCCCATGGGCAGAATGAGGGAGAGAGAGATTTTGTAGAGAAGTTGATTAGTCATAAGATGTTAAACAGTTCTGTCCAGTGTGACTAGTAAAGATTATTTTATTTCATTCTTTCTTCCCTTACATGTTTCTTTCTTTACAGAGCATCCTCAGAGGGACATCAATACAATCAATACTAGTCACACTGGATGGAACTGTTTAATCTCTAATGATATTGTTAGTGTGACAGACCAGAATGAAACAAATAAAAAATAAAGTTGATTAGTGTTACATTGCCAACCATTACAGTTCTGCTGGATCAAGTAATTTGCATGCTGCTGTGCAAAGTGGCAGTTATCTCAAAATTCTTGATTTTTGAGGCTAAGGAATTAACATTTGAATTGGCATTGAGTTTTCTCACAGTGTGATCTCGAAAATGTAAGACCCACAGAAGCCTTATGCAAGTATGTGTCCATGAAGCTCTGTTGGCATTTCCAGACATGTATAGCCTGGATGTTGCTTGTAACTGTCTTCTTATGCAGTAATGTTGCTTCTCAAAATGAAGTTTGTTTATTTTTGAAGAATGAACTGTTACTGAATTTAGTGATTTAATCTTACGCAGATTTGGAACATGATAGAGAAATGAATGTTTGGTCAGTCTGTTCTCCTTTCCTTTGTTTTGATAAATCCACAGTACCCACCTAAATCCTAGTTTTACTCACTTATATCCTAAAGACGGAGGTAGAGGGTTCCTGTGCACACATTGACCACATTGTGCTGCAAGCTAGAAAACCACAGTTGTAACTTCCNTTTTACTCACTTATATCCTAAAGACGGAGGTAGAGGGTTCCTGTGCTGCAAGCTAGAAAACCACAGTTGTAACTTCTGCTGCTGGGAAAGTCCTAGATCTTGTAATCAAGTAAATTTGTGGTGATGAGTCAATGTCAAGGGCACAGTTGTATAAGTATAGGATATGACATTATGTCATGTTATAGGAAGTCACCACCATTTCAGAAGCAGCTATTGCCATGTTCAGTGGGTTATGATGATGGGAAATAGAAGCGGCTGGTTCAGGAGTATATGTATTGGCAAGCTTTGTTATTAACAGCACTAAACACTTGTATTCTAATATTATTGTGGTACTTAGGTTGACTGAATATATTCTTTAACTTCTTTCATATCAGAAATAAATAGTATATGATAACAGTTCTTGTGCCGAGATCTAAGATGAATCATTCACCGTAGCAAGTAAGCTCTTTTCTGTGAACTTTCAATTTCAAGGTTATTGGTTTTAAAATTTTTTTCTATAGGTGGCACTTTGCATACACTTGTGTCCTGGAAGAAACAGTACGTCGCCGCCATCGTAACTGGGATTGGGATCACATGGCTAAATTCCGTCAGATGTGTCGTACGTATGCTGAGGCATACAAGACCAAGTTAACTTCTCGTAAAGTGGCAAATGACCTGCAGGTGACCCTTGATAATTGTGAGAAGTTCATCGATGTGCGTAACATTGTTCTTATCAGGCAGAAGATTGAAATGGAGGTAATTGAGAAATATTTTTATGTTTTGAAGAAGTCTGCTGACTTAGTGAAAGTAGAGTTAAAATAATTATACGAGTGAGTGGTTCCAAACCTTATTAGTATGAAGCCTTATTTCTAGCTTTGGTTCATCAAAGGAAGGTCATATGGTACCCCAATAGCTTAAAAAATATTTTAATCAGATTTGAAACCTAGTATGACTGTGACAGTTTAAGAAGTCACCTCCAAGACGTGTTTATCAAATGTCTTATGTCTACAGAATCAATGTGGGGATTTGGGAAGGTTTTTATATATGTGTTCAAACAATATAACCGCCTCTGTGGTCTAGTGGTCAGTGTTCCTGGCTACAGATCCAGAGGTCTGGGTTCGATTCCCGTTGCTACCAGATTTTTTCGGAGAAGTAGCGTGTCTGGAACGGGGTCCACTCGGCCTCATGATGATAACTGAGGAGCTATTTCAAGGAAATAGTGGTTTCGTCTAGAAAACCGAAATTAATGGCCATGGGTAGTCATTGCACTGACCACATGACACCCTCTATCTGCAAAAGTTGGCACTAAACTTCGCCGACAAGTGGCAGTTGCTCGGTCGGTATGGTTTGCTAGTGGGCTGAAATCACAGAGTTCAAACAATATAATTGAATGTACTCTGGTTTTGTGGGTGATCAGTATGTATAGATCTTAAAAAAATATTATATTTTTGTTAAAGTGCATTTCATCATAGATGGTTAAGAGAAAGCATGGAGTTATCGCTATAGAACTTACTTTGCATTACAAGATCTTATAATTCAGTGGTTGGCACTCCTTTATTTCACTTATGAGGACTTTAATTCAAATCTTGACCAAGAGATCTGCTTTCCTGAATGAATATTTTTGTTTTCTTCAATTTCTCCAAGCAAATGCTGGGACAGTACCAAAATGGCCATGACCACTTCCATGATTTTTTACATTCAGCATTCACTCTTCAGGGCTATATAACCTTACTAGCCAACAACACATCATGAAGTAATCCAAGAATCAACTCTTCTAATCTTGTGACAGTTTACAATATTATATTTAACCTTTATTGGACGAACGTCATCATATGATGTCATTAAAAGTTAGGGCAGCTGGCCAAACGTCGTCATATGATGTCACGGATTCCACGCGTGTAAGGTTTTTTTACAATTAAATTAAGAATATAAATTGTTGTTCTATTTACATGATTTTTGGTCACCACCTTTATAAGGAGACAGCCTTCCTTCCTGCATGATCTAATGTAATCTAGCGATGTCATATGACGTTAAAAGTAAGGCCAAATGGCCGAACAACATCATATGACATCACGCATTCCATGCGTGTAAAGATTTTTTTAAAATTAAATTTAAAATATAAATTGTTGTTCTATTCACATGATTTTTGGTCACAACCTTTATAAGGTGACAGCCTTCCCTCCTGTGTGATCTAATGTAATCTACCGACGTCATATGGCCGAACGACCTCATATGATTTCGCGCATTGCACGCGTGTAAAGATTTTTTAAAATTAAATTTAAAATTAAATTTTTGCTCTACTTACATGATATATGTTCACCATCTTCATGAGGAAACAGCCTTCCCTCCTGCGTCATCTATGGTAATGTGGCCTTCATGTGGTACTGCTGAAAACATTCCGAAATGCAGAGTCCGACATCACACCTCACGCACTTTGTACGAACGCTAGACCGCTTCCCACGCGAAGAACACACATGACACCTCATTTGCGATTTAGAGGAAGCAGGCTAGTGATGTCGACGGGCTTCCTCTAATTGTTTTACTAACGACATGGCAGGAGGTCGACCAATGGACCTTTGAGGGCGAGGTGAACCCCCTCCAGCTTCTTCCACCATGTTGCACACAAGGGCGAGACGAAAGTCTCGATGTGACAGTTTCGCGCCACAGGATGACAGCAAGATGAAGCTGTTCAGAATTGTCAGATCCAGGAGATGGAAAAATAGTTTATTTGTCCATTTCCAGGTCCGACGACTGATGCTGTAACTGTTTGTCATTCTGTCCGCTTTGTCGACATAAGCAATGTGCGTGTTATAATCCACAACAACTGATGGTTTGATGGCATTTCCGTGCTCATTACGGAAAGTACCTTCTGCTGGAGGACAGTGCATGTTTGTCAGTATGTGTACGTCACGTTTGTCCTTCCAAACTAGTGCTGTCAAGTTCCGTCTCACCCTAACACGAATGTCACCTTTCTTCAGTTGAAATTGTCTTCGTCAAAAATCATCAGGCAAGCCCTTCCGATTAGGTCTGACTATCCCACAGCGCGTTATGTCCTTTGTCATCAGGTCGTTGAACAAGTCTGGTGACGAAAAGAAATTGTCCATGTACAGTTTGTGACCTACGCCCTCAATACGCCTGCATAGGTCCCTAACTGTAGCATGTGTCACTGTCACGTCTTGGCTGGCATGTTTCCTGTCTTTTCCTAAGTAAACCTTCATGTCATAGGTATACCCAGCGGCGTCACAAATTTTGAAGATTTTTATTCCGAAACATTTGTGCTTCTTAGGAATGTACTGTCTAAAAGCCACCCTTCCCTTGAATTTAACTATTATTTCGTCTATGGCCAAATGTTCGGAAGGGTTATAATATTTTTGATATGTGTCATTGAGAGTGTCGAAGATGGTCCGAATTGTCCATAGTCGGTCATAACTGTCGGCATTCCTGTCAGTTTCTGTACTGTTGTCTGCAAAATGTAGAAAACGAAGAATGTGAAGAAAACTGTCGCGTTTCATTGTGTTAGATTAGAAAGGCGTGGCAAATTGTTCAGCAGTCGACCAGTAGTCCTTTAGTGTGTCTCTAATGTCATGTCCCATTTGAATAATTATTCCTAGAAACAGAAACATCTCGGATTCAGTTACGTCAGTCCGCGGAGATGGTCCATCTTCAAGTCTGTCTAGGTACTGGTGGTAGTACCTATTCTTCTCTTCCACCAGCAGATGGATAATCCCCACAAAGTAGAGCATGAAAACGCAGAGAGGGGTGGAATCCTTATTCACGTGTGGAGTTGCAGTGATATTTATCCCCGCAGCTACACCGGAATAATTATTCACACCTCTCCAGCCACACTGGTCTGGCGGTCCCCAAGTTGCCGACAAAGGTGATGACCCTTCGTCCGCGGAATCAGAACTCCAACTTTCCTCGCCACTCTCAGAATCGGTTGAATAGCAGTCCGAATCTGTGTCATTGAACAGCTGTTTCTCAATTTCAGCATCAGAACTCCAACTTTCCTTGCCACTCTTAGAATCGGTTGAATAGCAGTCCAAATCTGTGTCATTGAACAGCTGTTTCTCAATTTCAGCATCTTCCATACGACATCATCGTGTGGCCATGGTGAACTATACGGCTCTCTAGCAGTGAATCTCCGTGCTTAGACCACGATAAGAAACCATAAATCATAACCTCGAGCCCATTNTTCCTAGAAACAGAAACATCTCGGATTCAGTTACGTCAGTCCGCGGAGATGGTCCATCTTCAAGTCTGTCTAGGTACTGGTGGTAGTACCTATTCTTCTCTTCCACCAGCAGATGGATAATCCCCACAAAGTAGAGCATGAAAACGCAGAGAGGGGTGGAATCCTTATTCACGTGTGGAGTTGCAGTGATATTTATCCCCGCAGCTACACCGGAATAATTATTCACACCTCTCCAGCCACACTGGTCTGGCGGTCCCCAAGTTGCCGACAAAGGTGATGACCCTTCGTCCGCGGAATCAGAACTCCAACTTTCCTCGCCACTCTCAGAATCGGTTGAATAGCAGTCCGAATCTGTGTCATTGAACAGCTGTTTCTCAATTTCAGCATCAGAACTCCAACTTTCCTTGCCACTCTTAGAATCGGTTGAATAGCAGTCCAAATCTGTGTCATTGAACAGCTGTTTCTCAATTTCAGCATCTTCCATACGACATCATCGTGTGGCCATGGTGAACTATACGGCTCTCTAGCAGTGAATCTCCGTGCTTAGACCACGATAAGAAACCATAAATCATAACCTCGAGCCCATACATACAAAAATCTCATTCACGTCTTGGCTGAACCCAATATCTGCTTCAAACATGCTACATGATGTCATGGGTGGCTAACCTTATATTGCGATGTTTCAAAATCGTTACAAACACAATGATTTGACTGCAATGAATGAACGAATGACCGATCTGGCAACACCATATTCCGAGAATTAACTCCTGTGTCTTTCTAACACATTACACAGCGAGCGATTTCAGATGCCTACAGTCGTGCATACCGACATGTCCCATATGATAAATAAGCTTCAACAAGAGACACCATTGAATGTGAAGTCGCCACAAGGACTTGCACTACCAAAATGCATGGTGCAGAAAATGTATTACACTGCTAGAACGCATGGTGCAGAAAATGTATGAATTTTGGGAAATTTTTTTTGGGGAATCAGTGTACAANTTGAACAGCTGTTTCTCAATTTCAGCATCAGAACTCCAACTTTCCTTGCCACTCTTAGAATCGGTTGAATAGCAGTCCAAATCTGTGTCATTGAACAGCTGTTTCTCAATTTCAGCATCTTCCATACGACATCATCGTGTGGCCATGGTGAACTATACGGCTCTCTAGCAGTGAATCTCCGTGCTTAGACCACGATAAGAAACCATAAATCATAACCTCGAGCCCATTCATACAAAAATCTCATTCACGTCTTGGCTGAACCCAATATCTGCTTCAAACATGCTACATGATGTCATGGGTGGCTAACCTTATATTGCGATGTTTCAAAATCGTTACAAACACAATGATTTGACTGCAATGAATGAACGAATGACCGATCTGGCAACACCATATTCCGAGAATTAACTCCTGTGTCTTTCTAACACATTACACAGCGAGCGATTTCAGATGCCTACAGTCGTGCATACCGACATGTCCCATATGATAAATAAGCTTCAACAAGAGACACCATTGAATGTGAAGTCGCCACAAGGACTTGCACTACCAAAATGCATGGTGCAGAAAATGTATTACACTGCTAGAACGCATGGTGCAGAAAATGTATGAATTTTGGGAAATTTTTTTTGGGGAATCAGTGTACAAATTTTTTGCATATATTAAAATCTGTATATTAGAATATCTGATTCTGTATTCTTTCTACATTAAAGGAGCGTTCATTTCGTTCGTTTATCATAAAAAATGTAGAAATCACACCATTTTTAGAAACATGCTTACAATTTCATTGCTCTAGAAGGGCGGGCATTTAAATAAACTCCATCCAGCTGCCCCAACCGGAAATTAAATGGCCCATCCGATAAAGGTTAAGCATCCTGTTACACTATATACCATATATGACATAAACTCCATCCTAAGTGCAACAATTTATTGTAGTACTTTCGTCTTGCTTTCTTCTACACTACACTACACTACACTACACTACACTACACATATTAAAGATAAGCAGCGGCATGCACACAGGGAGCCTACACAGAATAACACCCGAGCAATGCTGAAAACAAGAAGTAGCCACTGCAGCACTCTAGACATAGGGTGGGTAACCCTGAGAATTTTAAATTTTAAAATTTGAAAAAATTTTAAAGAAATTTTTAAAATTTGAATTGAAGATTTTAAAAGTGCCAGTTTATGAAAATCAAATTGACGTGTGTAAGTTAACAAAGATTTTGTACAAATCAGACAGATATCAGTGGGGAAAATTCTGATATATCGAAACCTGTTAGCAATGACGAAAAGAACAATTGGGAAGACTAGTTTTTTTAAATTTTAAACTACGTGCAGTGTAGCAGCTACGTGAGTGTATACACCTGATGATGGCCGTTTGCGGCTGAAACATGTAGTGTAGAAGAAAGTAAGATGAAAGTACTACAATAAATTGTTGCACTTAGGACGGAGTTTATGTCATATATCTTGTGACAATAGTTTGAACAAAGTTATATTTAGACTTCACATTTTATTTTAGAATAATCTTGTTTGAGGTTGGCTAATGAAGTCCTATATCACTTCCTTTGAAGTCAGGTTTATTTATTGTAAGTTTTGTCATTCTGCTTTCTTTCTGTGATTACCTTGCCATTTTCTATCTTGTTAATTTCATTTTTTTTATGATTGTTCTTAAACTAATTAGAAGGGACTGTAATATTGTCGCATATTAGTGACTAGACACAGGATTTGAATTGATAACTGGATTTGTTGGGCACTTATAACTCACAATTACAAGTAATTATAACACTACCACTAATCTACACTCTTAATCAAATCACTGCTCTGAACAGTAAGGCTTCTATGTCTTCACCAGGCATTGTTAGGTTATGGCTGCTAACCACATCTTCTGCTTCCATGTTCATGAGATTACCAGCTGGCTAACTTCTTACAAATGGTCCTCAACTGCCCCAACTGCTGGCTATCACTGGCTATCAGTTACCTAACTTTTCCCATCAATCCTCGCTGTATAGCCTTGGGACAGACTGCATAGAAAACACCATCTCTGACAGTACGCTCATTCTTCCAAATGTGTTGACAAGCCATTGCCTAATGATGGCTCACTTGTTTATTGAGCCATTACCATGCAAGAGACAATGTTTAGGTAACCTTGTCACAGTATATACAAATTGTAATTAGATGGAAACATAATACAAAATCTGTTGGATAGAGGCTGTGTGGGAGGCTGAGACTTGCAAGGTAGGATATTATTAAAATAGATCATAAAAAGGAAGACTGTGACCAAGGCGACTGGATTGGACTGTCTCCGGATATATTTCTGCTGTATCAGGTTCTATAACAATGTGGATTCTTGTCAGGTCAAGGGTTATTAATCTTTTATATCCATTTTCATTACCGTCATTTCCACCCATTAGTTCATGTTAAATTTACCTGTTGTTAGCAGTACAGTACCTTTCTCAGCTGTCATCTAACACCAACTGATTTCATATTCATACTTCCATTACGTAAGCAAGTGCATCTGCAGTCATCCCAGTGACATCAAAACTTGCTTCATTATCCAGTGAATCCTCCATCACTGACAAATGAGTTACTCTTGTCCAGAATCCCAAATTTTCTACCAAATCTGCAACCCCCTTCCACCCTTATATCATTCTGGTCTTTTTACCCAGCTGTGTTCCAGGAGAAAGTTTCATTATCTGAACCTCAGATTCTTTCAGGCAGAATTTGTTGTGAATTTTAATTACATGAATTCTCTTGATGAATTCTGCATGCACCCCAAATATATGTTGTACTTTTCTTCAGGTCAGTATTTCATAGTGTAAGGAAACTGAAGATTATTGATATGTGCCTCAACAGTTTTCAGGTTTCACTGTTTATTATGTTCACATACATTTCCATCTACCTCTTCACACTAATTCACATTTTGTCCTCTTCACTCTGCTAATTCAGATGCAGTGACTAGACCCCCCCATAGCATATATGTCCACCAGTACTACTGTTATTGCATGAAATTCCATGCAGATTACACCCAAAAATTTGCTCTGGCAAAATATTTTGTTTTATTTGCTGCCCTGTCTGCGTTCTCTAACAATGGGCACTGCATGAGACAGACTGTATAATGGAATGTAATACATCTGCATTTTAACAATATTTCTGTACAGCAATGTGTTATGTTGCTGCTTTTAGGTTTATGGTCTTACAGATGATCATATTCTAATAAAGTTTTAATTTGCTTAAGTAACAGCTCCATCTTTCCTCAGCTTTCCACTTTCAGTGTTCTTGTTCTTGGGTCTTATTTTCCTGAAGAAGCAGGATTTGGTTGTTCTTAATCTTCCTTCTAAGAAAGTTTATAGATGAAGTGACATATCATGCTAGATGGTCAGTGAGTAATGTGTGTTTCAGTTGGAGCGAATGGACCGGAGGGAGCAGGAGATGAAGAAACAGAAATCTGGTGGTTGGTTCAGTGGTTGGTTTGGGGGAAGTTCACAGACGAAAGAGGAGGAGACTCTTACAGCTGCAGCAATAGGTTAGCTGTTTCAGTGCACATATGTCTAAAATATTTTGGTATTCTTGCTGTGATTACTTCTTCCAGCTTGGGGTAACTATTGTTAATTGGATGACTGCCAGTTGTAGGGAACTTTTAGAAGTTTAATGAAACTCTAAAAGTCATCAATGAGGTACTTGACAAAAATTAAAAAGGATGTTTGTAATATGAATAGCTATTGAAATAGTAGTACTACTGAAAAAAAAATTATTGTAGAAGTGTTCTTAGTGATTCTTGCAGCTGCATTTGTACCAGCTGTTACCCCTTTATCATGTTACACTATCATACTTAGCATCAGCATCTTGTATTTTCAAAATGATAGAGGTACTTGACTGTGATAAATTTTGTCTGGGCAGGTAAATGACATCATTTTAGTCTTAAACTAGCTGAAATTAGTCTGCCTTTGTCAAATACAGTGATACACAGCATTACTTATGTCCCCAAAATTAAGACACTTCCAATTTTAAATCAGGGTTTTAGGAAAAAATTATAACAGTGTATTTATTTCAGTGAGTTTATTTAGGACACATCAGTTAAAATAACGAAATGCTTAAAATACATTTAAAGTGAAAATTGTGGAAAGTATACCAGAAGGAAATGAAAATTTCAAATTTTCACTAAATGCACATTTCTTTCAATTTTTTTATTTAATCAGAAAATTTGTTCATGATCCTTCAGTCACACTTTCATTCTCTGAAGATGATGCATCTCATCACTTTATTCACTCTTAACCCAAAGAATGTCATCTTGCGTTCCAGTGTTTTCAATATCTGTCTGTAAATGATTGTTAAAAGAATTTCAGAATTAACAGCCTGGTGTCATAAGTGCCAAAGGAAGCCCAATTTCCATGTTCTGCACATTTTGTTTTGAATTTATTTCTTGTTCAGTATATGTTGCTTTCCATATCTTGCTTTCTAACTGGGGCACAGGATAGTGTAGTTTACAATTCTTTATTGGAGTCCGTCATAACACAACATAACAGTCAAGGTTAATATTACGTTAGCTACATGTTTCAGCTTTTAAAGCCATCATCAGGCAAAACACATGATTACTATATTCACACACTATTGAACTGCAATTTCATTGTGATAGTAAAGCTGGATGCTTGATAACTGTTACAATACAAAATACAAGGTATAAAAGTACAATGAATTATGAACTTATTATGAAACGAAAGTTATGGAGTAAAATGTGGTTAAAAATTCTTCACGTGATACTGCATATCATGAAGTCAGTTGTTGCAATCTTGTTATATTCCCACAGACATAATGGTATATTCAAGACTTGTATGCATATAGTAAAGTGCTTGAAGGCCTGTGGTATAGATGTAGTATTATTTGACATTAATTGTTTGGCCGGTGCCTCATTTTACAATGTATTTTGTCTGTTCTGTTGGGAATACAGATTGCCTGGTGATGGCTTTAAAAGCCAAAACATGTAGCTTAGGTAATATTAACCTTGACCATTATGTAGTTATGTTATGACGGACTCCAATAAAGAATTGTATATAATAAGACAACAGGATGCACGAAATGAAAAAAAAAAAGATTTAGTGTAGTTGCTTGATGCACTGTACTACAAGCCAGAAGGTCACAGGTTTGATTCCCCATGAGGTCATTGAATTTTTCAGTTGACCTAATCCTTCCAGCCGCACTGGGGCTGACTCAGCATCTAACAGAAATGAGCTCCAGGAATCTTCCTGGGGGTAAAGGGTGGTTGGTGCATAAGGCTGACAACCTCATCGCCACCTGTGAACCAGTTGCCTAGAAAATATGTGTCTCTCCACGTCTCATGACGGTGTGGGCCTCCGCAGCCTGTTACATGGACAACTTTACCTTTTACCTTTTTACTTTCTAAATATTTATAGGCATCAGATTCTTGTTTGTATACATATATAAAAGTACAATGAAACTATAGATACAGTGGGTTTCTTGTACCTAATATGATATTATTATTTGTAGCAAAGAAGTTCGAAGATGCCATGACTCCTGAAGAGAAAGCAAAACTGTACCGTGCGATTGACTATCAAGAGAATTCAAAGCCAGCTCAGTACCCTAAAACGTTCGTTGAAATTAGCTTGAGCTTTGTGCTAAAATGTCTAGCAGTGGAAGTGCGAGATGATTCCCTGGATATTCCACAGGTCTTATACACTGAACTGAAAGGTGTTTCCAGTCGTATCGAGCAGCGACCTTCTGCTGATGCTATAAGGTGAGATGGACTGATTAATAACATGTACGTTATCAAGCAGCTTTGTCCAAACGGTAATGCTTTTGGCTTCTTATTGGGAGATACCTAGTTTTAAGTTCATCTTTGATACCAGCTATTCTTTCTGAGGTCTTTTGTCCTCGGTGCTGCCAAGCAAATGCAGGGATAGACTGTCAACTTAGACTGTGACTTTTTGCCTGTTGTTTCAGTTCATTATTCATCAGCCATGCTATCATTAGTACTATTCAGTCTGAGATACTGGTGGTATCATTAAATGATGTATATATAAATAAGCATATATGTCTTTGTGTATTGGTATCTATAATCAGTACCAGGTGTTTAATATCTATAAATAAGAATCATTTGAACATATTACTGTCCTTGAAAAATATCATTAAAGAGAATATTTTGTGGATGTGCTGCAGGCTGCATACCTTCTGGTCTATCTCCATAATTCCTCTGATTAAACTCTGCCTATTCAGCTGAAAGAAGTGGCCAGACACAAAAGTGAACTCCTAGAATGCACTGATTTTGTGCAGATGAATATTTGCTTAGACTGTGTGAACAGTTGGAATGTTAGTTTCAGACCAGCTCCCATCATAATCAGATAACCTGATAATACNAGTCTCCAGGCACCTAGGTAATGACTTAAATTTTCAATCCCCAAATTTGATCATCAACAGATTGTTTAACTGCANCAAGGTCTGTTTGTTTAATTTCCAGTGTTTCTAAAGTGTACTGTTATTAATAATATATTAACGCTGTGGTAAAGTTACATTTTGATTGTTTAACTTCGGGGGGAGGGGGGGTGAGAACTTATAATCACTTTCGTCTGTTATTCTCTTTCGCTAACATCTATGTTGCACTCGGCTGCCGTCGGCGGTCTTAGCTAAGGTAGCTCGGGATCGGGCGAGGACAGGATGGTTACTGGCGGGTGACTCAGAACTCCCTGCGAACATTTCTACTATGTACACTTCTCTATTTACAATAATAATTACATGAAGAAAAAGGTTTGCTTTTGATCTGTCTATCATGACTCTTATCCTAAACTAATTCTACCGACCTTGGTTGTGGAGGGGAGGTGCCTTGAAACTGTGCTCCTATCATTGTCTGTCACTCTCCGTTCATTTCTACCCTGTTCTACCCTGGCTCTCACTTGGTACACTGGAGACTGCCTTATAATCTCACAATAACACTGTTCTTAACAATAACATCTAACAGCATGGCGTATATGAGCGAAAAGACTTACTTGCAATACAAATGTAGATTACGGCCGTTGTCCACCCTCTTATGGAATACATGTCGCCGATAGCCTTCGGCTGACAACTCTATATTCTGTATAAGATCAGATTCCAAGTCTCTTGAATTTCCCTCATTTATAGTCTTAATTCGCTGATTCAGCGTGGACGACAAGGGGGTAGATAGCTCCTCCCTTGTGTTCTAATTTCCTAAAGTTAGGCTTTCATTGGGTATTCTATGTGGCTGGGGGTGGACCTCTTGCGTCTTATCGCTGTGTATTTACTCATATGACCATCTCCAGTGGCCTAGTTAGCGGAGCGTCTTGCATACGGTATTACGCATGAATGCTGATTATCGCATTCTTAACCTCATTGCGTGTCCATGTGTTGTCATCTTTGCTCTTTCACTGCAAAACACTTTTCGCAAGTCTCCAGGCACCTAGGTAATGACTTAAATTTTCAATCCCCAAATTTGATCATCAACAGATTGTTTAACTGCACTCAATATCACTCCTCATTATTACGTGTAACCGCATAGAGAAAGAATCCGTGAAATATGATGCTTTGAGATTCAACTGCCTTTTCAAGGCACGCATCCTTGCCATTTCTACAGTGGAGCCACAATTTTTATGATCTCTGGCCCTCCTGCATGTGATATAGCACTCCCGAAACTCGGGCTGATGAATGTGGCATTGTTGTCAAATCTTGATTTCAAGACAAGTTATCAGAGTGCACATGCAGTCAGGAACATTGGATTACTGGAACAGCTCACTATAAACGTTACATCTGTCAGCAGACCTTGGCAGCGCGTGACTGTTGGCCAGCGCTGCTTACAGGCAGGCAGTAATGATGTCAGTGTTAGCCATTGCTATTTCAAGGTGGCCAGTGCTATCCTGACAGGAAGAATCATTAAATTGGAGCTAGACTGTAAGGGTATGCATGAATTTTGGTCTTGGTAGCCTGTTAGCAAATAGACACTGAACTAGATCTGACTTCTGTTTCAAGTTAACTTATTGTCCAAATCGATCATTCTTTGATCATACAAACAAATGATTTACTGGTACTCTAAAGCAGGTTTGAGAAGTACTGTCTTCTGGGATGTGATGCAGTTTGCTGACATTTTGGAGAATCGAAGAATAAATTGTGCTTTCTGTGTGCTTCTTGCCGGTTGCTTTCTTGGCCCACTCGTCAACCCTGAAGATGGAAGTAGTACAGTTCTCTGAAGTATCATTGAACTTCTACCAGACTGCTCTGTGTTACATATTCGTCATAGTCACTGCTGTGAGAACCTCAAATCCAAACAATCAAATGGTTTATTTCTTACTGTGATCTCCTGGGTTTTAATACAGTATGATGCAATAATTTTTAATCCTGTGCATGTTTGTGCTTATGTCTTTTTAGAGTGATGATGCAGATAGAGGGATTCACAGTATTTGGGTTGAAGCAGGACAACAATGTACCACAGCTGGTCACATCCAAGGAGCAGGACAGTAAGGCTCTATTGGATGTTCTGTTTGAAACACATCCTCTGGATGACACATGTGACCAAAGGATCCGTGTTACTTCAAAATCTCTGAAAGTAGTTTATGATGCTCAGACAATCAACAGAGTGGTAGATGTGTTCAAGGCACCAAAGGAAGTTAACTTGGCTCAGTAAGTTCTTGACATATTTTTTACCTTTCTCAGTCAAGATCAGTAGGTTGATGGCAGCAAATATTACATAAAGTTTGCTCAAGGTTCCATTTTTTCAGACATTGTTTTAGTTCTGAATAATATCTGCAAAGGCCTTGCCATAGCTCAGGTGGTTAGTTGCTGGCTTCCCACTGCAGTGGCCCGGGTTTGAGTCCAGGTCAGGTCATATGGGATTTGTGGTTGGCAAAGTCGCACTGGGGCAGGTTTTCTCTGTGTACTTTGGTTTCCGCTGCCTATCTTCATTCCACCTATTGCTCCACAATTACCGTCATCTGTCATCCAGGGCTGGTACAATAAACCAGTAGTGGCCGCAGTATCAAGTGGACTCAGTGTCACCCCAATATCTGCAAAGAAATCATGCCAAATGCAAACTCCCAAAAGTTGAGATGGTCTATAGATGTTCAAGAAAGAATTCATATCTCCTGTCACCAGAATTTTGTGTATAATTGTACATATTCTGTGCCATCAGAATACAGAATTAAAGCAGACAAAACATTCATCTATGCCATATTCACTTGACATGGTACAAAAGAATTTTAACCCATATCATATAAACTGTTATAGTTTACATAAAATATATAGTCCTGTAGCAGAATCAAATTATAAGTATCCCTGATTCTTTATTCATGCTTTCAGTATTTTAGTTTTATGTGATCCCTATGCATAAACAGTCAGTTTGATATTTTGCTCTATTTTTTTCCCCCTCCTTTATTGACAGTCAGATACTGCAATCTTTTAGTCAATGTGCTGTCTTGTGTACAATTAGTTAAGACTTGTACACTTCAGTGGCTTGAGTGGGTCACTTCCATCGACGTGTCCCTCAGTTTTTTAGGTCTTCTGGCAACTTTCGTCCAGTTTTTCTGTGGTTGTGTTGATATAAAAGTGGTTGGAGCAGTGGGTTTGGGTGGTTAGCTAACTTGTTGAAGTGGTTGATGCTGTGTTCTTTGATGGCTTCTGTGATGTATGGAGTTTTGAGGCCGGTGTGAATGGTGTGGTTAGACACATACCATGGTTTATTTGAATCAGGGGGGGGGACATTTGCCTTTTCGAAGCGTGAACGTTGTTTGAATGAATTTTGTTTCATTAACCTTAATTTTCCATTTTTTTAGCCATTTTTCTATGCGTATGTGGTGGTTCTGTAAGTTAGTTCTTGCTGTGATGTGATTATCGTGTGTAGCGAAGATAGCCGTGTTGTTGGCAAATGTCCCTATAAGTGTTTTATGGGATGTGGGAAGGTCGTGGGTGTAGAGCGTGTAGAGGAAGGGGCTGAGCAGGCTTCCTTGTGGTATGCCTGAGAGGATTGGTAGTCTTCTTGATAGTTCATTGTTTACTTTAACTACGAAAGTTCTGTCGCTTAAGTATGAGTGTAATATTGGGAAGTAGTGTGATGGGAGAAGTGTTTTTATTTTGAAGAGTAAACCGGGATGCCAGACTTTGTCGAAAGCCTGGGCTATGTCTAGGAATACTGCAGTACAGTATTGATTTTTTTTCAGTGCTTGATATATGGTATTGGCGATGTGATGGCTTTGTTGTGTGGTTGAGTGCACTCTATGGAAACTGAACTGATGGTCTGGGGTCCGGCTTAGTGGATTTGAGTCTTGGTTGATTTTGTTGGGAAGTAGTTTTTCAAGGAGTTTTGCTATTACTGGTAATAGGCTTATTGGCTGGTATGAGGAGAAGTCGGTTGGGTTTATCCCAGGTTTTAATATCATTATGATTTGGGCTGTTTTGAGTGGGAGGGGCCAGTAGTTTAATCGGAGAATAGTGTTGAGTAGGTATAGGTGTTTAAGTCGTACTTCTTTTGGCAGTTGTTTTATAATTTTGGTGGTGATGAGGTCTAGTCCTGGGGCCTCTTTTGGTTTTAGTGTGTTTATTGCTTTATGGATCTCCTTTAGTGTGAAAGGCTTTGGCTGTTTTGATCTTTGCATGGTTTCACTGATAACTGAGTCTACTTCCTGAAGTGGTAGGTTATCCTGGGGGGTGAATACTTCTTGTGAGTGTTTTGCAAACAAATTAGCTTTTTCATGGTCGTTTCTTGCCCATTTGCTTGAAGGAGTAGTGTACTTACGTATTGGTGAGGCAACTGATTTTGGTTGTCTTTTGTTCCGTATGGGTTTCCTGATAGAGTTGTCTTGTCTGGAGAGGTTTGCGGTATATTTTTCGAAAGATGTATTCCTTAAGTCGTGTAATTGTAGTTTTAGTTTGTTTCTGAGTTGGTTGAATTTTAATTTGTTTTCTGGGGAATGGGTTTTTTGCCAGAGTGATCTTGCTCTTCTTTTTTCAGCAATTTTTTTATCCTTAACAGGATGTCGTTAAGGGTGGGAGTGTGTTGGAATGTAGGGGTTGCCATTTTGGCTGCTGCTTGTAGTAGGTTTATGAAATGTTTGTAGTCTCTTTCTATGTCGGTTGGGTCCTTCAATTTGGTGTTTAGTGTTGTGTTGGTCTCTATGATTTGTTGGAATAGTTCCCAATTTGTTTTGGAAGTATGGAGCTTGGGCTTGGATTTTTTTGGAAGTACTGTTGTGCTTAATGTTGCTATGATTGGAGTATGGTCGGAGGTCAGATCTAGACTTGCGGTGATGTTTAGGTAGGATGGACAAATGCCTTTTGTTATGAAGAAGTCCAGTAGATCTGGAATTTTTTCCTTATCTCTTGGCCAGTATGTCGGAGAGCCGGTAGATATGCATCAGCAGTTGTTGTCAGTGATTGTCGCATGTAGTTCTCTTCCTTTTGTGGTGGTGAGCCTTGATCCCCAGAAGGTATGTTTGCTGTTGAAGTCACCACCAGCTATAAATTGGTTCCCCAGGGTGCGGAAGAAGGTCTCATAGTGGATTTTCTTAAGATTGATTCGAGGAGGACAGTAGATCGTGGAAACGGTGAAGGGGTACGGGAAGGTTGTGATTTTGATTGAGGAAGCTTGGATGTGTGGTTCTTCATACTTCTGTAGGACGAAATGATCTGTAGTTTCTTTGATTATGATTGCTGTTCCTCCATGTGCTTTGCCATCAGGGTGGTTGATCTGGTAGGTTTTGTATGTTGGTATGTTGATATAACTTTTGTCGGTGAAGTGGGTTTTGCTGATTAGGAAAATATCTATAGTGTTTATCTTTAGGAATATTTTTATTTCCTCTTGATGATTTTGTAAGCTGTTGGCATTCCATTGTGCTATTGTAAGAAATTTGAACATTTAATGTATTTTGTTGACGAGTGCAGTGATCATATTTAGTACCATAGTGTTTTGTTGCAGTAGTAGTTGTAGTAGGTTTTTGAATTCGTCTAGGAATTTGATGAGTATGTGGGTAGATTCTTCCGGCAGAGCTGAGTTGCGTCCTGTAGCATCTGCATAGCTTCTGGGTGGTGATGGTTCTAGTGCTGGAATATTTTTCGCATAGATTTCGGTTGAGTAAATAGGTGTGGTGGTAATTTTTTTCTGTACTGGGCTAGTGAGGCCTTTGGTTAGCTTGCGGTAGTGATCACAGCCTCTGTAGTTGGCTGGATGGTCTCCTTCCCAATGCACGCATCTGGCTGGAGTGTTCCTCGTTTTCTTGCAGTCTGTAGTTTTGTGTGATCCACCACATTTGATGCAGACATATGGCTTATTGCAGTAGGTTTTTGTGTGTCCATATTGTTGGCATCAAGTTCATTGTATGATGTTTGTTTTATTGGAGTGCAGAGGTTCTATTTTTACAATTCTGTTTTGAAGTCCTGTTATGTCAGATTTTTTTTGTTATTTTGGGCTGGTTCTAGGTCTATGAAGAATAGGTTTAGTGGTTCTTTGATGGATTTGTGATGGATATTGATGATGTTTCTGACTCTGTGCCCTAACTCGGCAAGTTCTTGTTTGATGTCTTCTATGTTGGTGGTGTGGTGAAGGTAGCATATCACAATTCTGAATGTTCTATCTTCTTTCAGTCGATATATGTGGTGGTAGATTTTTGTGCTTTGAATTCTCTCACCATTTTCCTGTATGTTTCTGGGGTTTCACAATTTATTTTGACTATGTTATTTGCTAGGCTTTTGGTGATGTATTGTTCTTGTTCGGCAATTTGTTGGATGTGTTTTATCATTTCTGAGTAGTTTTGGACACCATGAATGAATATTGGTGGTGGTTTGGCTATTTTCGGAGTCATATTGATGTCGTTTGGGGTTTCAGGTTGATTTAATAGGGGGTTGAATCGGTTTGTTGTCGTGGTGTCGTTTGGAGTGGGTGGGTCATCTTCACTGGATGATGACATTTTTTTGCTCTATTTAAAAATTATTTCTCAAGTTAGACTGTCATTTGACTGATACCAGCAGTGTTTGTTGTATTGTTTATTGTTCATGGTCAGTTGGACACTTTATTTTTGTTAGTTGTCCTTTCCCCTTCATTAATATCAACATGGAAAGTTCATTGACTGGTATAATCAAGTTTATCCTCTAGAAAGAGTGTGCATTATTGATTGACTTTAATTTAAAAATGAAATTTCTAGCCGTAACATAAAAATTGAATCTTCTAAAAGAACAATGAAAATGTTTTGGTACTTGTATGTTATATTGAACAGACCACATGTGTTTTATTCTGTATTATTTGTTCAGGCTGCAAGCCACTGCTGAGTCAAAGCTGGCTGACTTTAAGGAGATGTCTGCAACAGGACTGCAATACGCCATCCAGCAACAGAGCATCATGGACCTGAATGTAGATCTGCAAGCCCCCTACATTATTGTTCCCCATGGTGGCTTCTATTCTGGGTATGCTGGGTGTGATTTATTTGTATCTATATAGGCAAGGTAGTGTAAGCCACACCATCTGACAGAAGGAGGAATTACAAATTGTGAAATGTTAAAAGAGACAGATATGAACTTAAAGTATTTAAGTTAATGAAATGTATTTCATTCCCTTACTGGTGCACAGTAATTAATGTCGCCTTCTAATGAAATTTGCTTTGACAGAAATTGAAACTCCCTTAGTATATTGTAGTGTGTATGCCTGTTACTGGGTAATGACCTTGAATCAAACAACGAAACGACATCCACTACTAGGCAACAGATTCTTGATAAGCATATGCAGCTGTTACTGAATAATGCCTTTCCATACAAACATGTTCCCATGGAAACGATTGGAGCAACAGTAGAAAAGTTGTGTTTTCTATGTGGTCCATGCTGAGATTTTATAAGCAAGACAAGTTTAGAAGTTAGTTGTAAGAGAGTCTGTGAAGAGAAAGACTTAGTCAGTGCACAGAAGCTGAAGAATCTCCATTGTTAAGACTTAGCGTGTGCTGTAGCAATTGGTATAGTTCGGAAATCAGCGATGGCACTATAAATTTAGTTACTAGTTGTGTTAAAGTGGTCAATAAATCAAATCTCCAAATCTAAACCCCCATTGATATTCGCTCAAACACCTGACATTATATTAGTAATAAGTTTAAGAAATTGAAACATCATACAGTTTAATGCAATGAAACTTTTCAGCACCACTAAATTCTATTTACATACTCATCTTTTATGATTCAGTGAATTTTGTCTTTTTCAAACATAAGAGCAGCAAGGTGCCACTGTTTGAAGAGCAAATTAATATTAAGGTTTACATATGATTGATCTAGATATGAATCCCTACATGAAATATAATCATTTTCAGCCATGTACAATGGACTGGAGGAAAGAAAATAAGAGGGGCCATAAAATTGTTAAATTACTGTATTTGGGCATATGGCAGATTTAGATGGTAACAGAATACACTCTTAGCTAGTGCTGGATAACGCATGTTATCTTCTATTTTGACATTACAACTAAAATAAAGTTTTGGCCTTCTCAAACACAACTTTCCACTTGGTCCTGTCCTGGACTGTTATCTTCTAATTTGGTACCTTCATCTTCTTAATGTCAGTGCTAAGATCTTCCACCCATCGTATTTTCGGTCTGCCCACTGGTCGTGTACTTACTAATTCCATGAGTACAGGGTTTTAACTGATCAGTTGGTAGGCATTCTCTCTACATGGCCAAACCATCAGAATCTTTGTGCATGTATAAGATTGATTATAAATGCATGTTATAAATAAGAAAAAAAGAACCTTTTTTGTGTTGACTATGAAGAGTACTGTTTTCTGTGATGTGATGCTATGTAGTTTGAAGATTATCAGTCTGCATGATGTTCCATTGCAGAATGAAGTATGCATCCAGTGTCTGTTTGTATTCATGTCAAAGTGCTGTGTACTCCATATGTGGTATGAAAATTATAGTACTTGCTTGTACTTGTGATGTATTTTGACTGAAATGGTTGTTATTAAGCCTATTACATAAATGTAGGAAGGTCTCTGCAGACATGTCTATTGTACATGTGTCTATAGTGATTTGAAGTGCTAATTTCTGTGTTGAGACATTATTATTATTATTATTATTATTATTATTATTTATTTCATCCA